GCACGAGAAGTCGCGAACGTTCACGAGGGGAGTCAGCAGGGGAATTTGGCAGACATGAATTTGAAGACAGTTATTCTACAGGGGAGAACCAAGCCCGATTCCGAAGCAGTTCGACAACCGTTTTCCTTGGCGCATCTGGCGAAGTCCTGAAGTATAGTTAAACAACTGCTCTGTGCTTTCTTATGCTTGTGTGCTAGGCGAAATATAAATGCGTGCTTGTGTTCAGTTGTAATCAATCCTTTTGAGTGAAGTTATTCTCTATCATCGTATTGACGTGAAGAGAACTTTCTGCACACGACCAGTTCGTCGTCATAACGCTGCGCAAGGAGTTTTGGGAATGCTCTAATGCACGCGATTGTTTTCATACTTAGCGTGTCCCTCGACATAACACGGACCCTTGGATAGGGGCTGGCCTTGCCAGGCACCCAACACCCCTGGAGGTGACCCCGTGGGGACTGTTAAGTGTGAATTAAAGGTGTGCTTAGTAGCCTCTAGATCCCAATAGTAGTCAACAGTTATAAGGGTACATTCCGCTCTGGACATGTCCCAAAAGTACATGTCCCAATCGGGTGTACCGCTCTGAACCGAACTAAACCAGAGACGCGAAAATTTTGACAATGTTTGAAACTAGGGTGTAATTCGGTGTAATAAGATGCAGTGCGGTGGAATCGATTGGGACACTTTCTATAGGGACATTTCCAGAGCGGAATGTACCCTAATCTGTTTGTTACTTGTGAATTGAATGTGTTCTTAGGTAAACGAGGGAGACACTTCTGCGCGCGCTTGTCTTCGTTTAGCTATGGAGTCTTCTTCAATGCAGCTTTTCACGGGGCTTTCGCTTGATGGTGAGTTAAGACGAAGGTATGTATTTTGTAAGCGATTTGTGAGTGGGGATGGCGCATGCTTGTATAGATGTCTTTCGCTTGCAACATGGAATGACGACAGCTTTTGGGACCCATTGAAAGTGAGAATTGTTGAGCACGTTTGCGAGAACTGGTCGCGGTACCAAAACTTCGTTACATTGTGTCACGATGTGTCGTTAACGACTGTGGACAAATATGTTCAATATATCGAACAACCTTCGGTTTGGGGTTCAGCGTGCGAAATCAGAGCATTTTGTGAGTTAATGAACAGAACGGTTATAATATGGCTTCATTCCCGCGAGTGGATGCAATATGAGGGGTTAGAATTTTTGTCTAACAATAACCAAATTCATTTGTTGTTATCCAACGATCATTACCCTCTTCTTGAAGAGTGTAATGAAGGTGAGGTTTGGGGAACTTCGTTTCTTACTCCGTCGAATACAACCATTGAATTCGAAGTGTCAAGTGAGAAAAGGAAGGGAAACAAGAACTTTCGAAGGCATCGTACGCAACGTGATCATTTCCCACCAAAAATCGTTTCGAGCGAGAGAGAAGGTTGTACACGAGCTACTTGTACCAATGTGGAAGAGTCAAGCATACCTGTCAGAGGAGCCGAACCAGTAATGTACGGCATGCAGCATGAGAATATTCCATTCGAAGGTGTTCCATTTGAACGAGCAAGCAGTGCAGGACATGGTTTTGATGTATTGGAAGAAGTCTCAGAATCGTCGAGCAATCTCAACGAGCAGGTGGATTCAGGAACTTTTGCCCGAGGAAGCTGTGCGCGTTCAATTCATATCGACAATGTGCAAGACAAATAAGAACTACTTGAGTCAGAAACGCTGCGCATGCAACGTGAACACGTTCGACTAGAAAAATATTCAAGTGGGAGGCGAACAAGGGGGCGTCTCTTTTGTATGAATGAGATCCAAGAAGATGTGGAACAATCGAGCATTCTTGAAACGTCGCCGACTCAACGCGAGCATATCTCATCTAGTACCGATCCATGTCATGGAACAATGACCATGCATCGAAGTGTCAAACTTATATGCTATAGTCTGTGTAGGTTGTAGTGGGGTAGACAATATGGGGTACAACACTTTTAGGTTTTCCTACTTGTACCCACCTGCTTGCTAGTTCATTCATTCCTCATTTCTTCACATGGTATAGAGCAGGTTCCCTAGTGGGAACGCTTCCTAGGGCCCACCACTGAAAATCGAAATTTTTTTTTTTTTTTTCTGACCGGAGCGCGAGTCGCCCCTGCCCGAGGCGCGCCCCGTGGGCCGCCCTCTCGTCGCGTCCCCTGCCCTTAGCGGCCTGTCGCGCCCTCCTAGAGGCCCCTCTCACGGCCCCTCGCGCCACCCCTAGCGGCCCCGTCGCCGCCCTTAGCGGCCCCGTCGCCACCCCTAGCGGCCCCGTCGCCACCCTTCGCGGCCCCGTCGCCGCCCTTCGCGACCCCGTCGCCGCCCGTTACGGCCCCGTCGCCGTCCTTCGCGGCCCCGTCGCCGCCCTTCGAGGCCCCTCACGGCCCCTTCGCGGCCCCGTCACCGCCCCCAGCGGCCCCGTCGCCGCCCTTCGCGGCCCCGTCGCCGCCCCTATCGGCCCCGTCGCCGCCCTTCGCGGCCCCGTCGCCGCCTCTAGCGGAACCGTCGCCGCCCTTCGCGGCCCCGTCGCCGTCCCTAGCGGCCCCGTCGCCGCCCTTCGTGGCCCCGTCGCCGCCCCTAGCGGCCCTGTCGCCGCCCTTCGCGGCCCCGTCGCCGCCCCTATCGGCCCCGTCGCCGCCCTTCACGGCCCCTCGCGGCCTCTTCTCGGCCCCGTCGCCGCCCTTCGTGGCCCCGTCGCCACCCTTCCCGGCCCCTCCTCGGCTCCTCCGCCACCAGCAGCAGCCGCCGCCAGCAACAGCCGCCGCTGCCGCCAGCAGCAGTCGACAGCAGCAGACGCCGCCGACAACAGCGGCGGCCACCACCAGCAGCAGCCGTCGCCGCCGACAGCAGCGACTGCCGCCGCCACTGACAGCAGGAGCTGCCGCCGCGGTCGCGGCTCTGTCCCTGCCGACACGCCTCGGCCCTGCCCCACCGCTTGCCGGCCCCTACCTACCAGCCCTGGTGAGAGCACTGCCGAGCCACGCCTGCTACTGCTGCCCCTAGCCTGCTGCCACTGCTGTCATGGCTACCCCTAGTGTTCTAGTCTTTGATGCTGAGGGTCGGGCTGTTGACTTTGAGGTCTGGGTCGATGATCTACAGCTTTTCCTACAGTGCGATAGGAAGGACGGTCTCTCCCTGTTCGATCTCACGTCTGGCGCCTCTACTGCCCCTGCTGCCGATGCTGACAGCACTGTTCGCTCACAGTGGGCCACACGCGATGCTGCTGTCCGTCTTGCTGTGCGTAGTCACTTGCCGTCCACTGAGCGCGCGCACTTTAGTCAGTACAAGAGTGCTAAGACCTTGTACGATGCTGTAGTTGCACGCTACTCTTCCCCTGCCATAGCTGCCCTTAGCCGCCTCATGCTGCCGTACCTGTTTCCTGACCTCGCCGCCTTTCCCACTGTCGCTGACCTCGTTACGCACCTTCGCACTAGTGACACCCGCTACCGCGCTGCGCTTCCTGCTGAGTTCTGCGCCAAGAACCCCCCCCCCATGTACATCACCCTCTACTACATAGTCACCCGGCTCCCTGACTCCCTTCGCTCGGTCAGGGACCACTTCCTCTCTGTTTGCCCCACCACACTCACCGTTGACCTCCTCGAGGAGCGCCTCCTGGCAGCTGAGAAGAGTATAGTCGCTGTAGGAGCCTCTCGTGGTGACCCTCGTGCCCCCGTCTTTGAGGGGTGCTCCCCCTCCCCCCTTTTGCCCTCTGTTGCCTCTGCTGCTGCCGTCGACTTCGTTGGCACCGAGTCGGTCGGCGCTGCGTCTGCCCCTAGCGGGCGACGCCGCACCGTCAAGGGCAAGGGGGGCAAGGGCGCTGGAGGGGCTGGCGGGGGCGGTGGAGGTGGCGGTGGAGGAGGCGGAGGGAGTGGGGGTGGTGGTGGGAGTGGTGGCGGGGGTGGGGGCTTCGGTGGCGGCGGTGGAGGCGGAGGCGACGGCGGCGGTGGCGGTGGGAGCGGAGGAGGAGGCGGTGGCGGCGGTGGCGGAGGTGGCGGCGGAGGGGATGGAGCTAGTCGGGGTGGCTCTGCGCAGCGGGGCGGCTTCGGGTTAGGTCAGCGCCAGCAGCAGCAGCGCACTCGTGAGACCCCGCCCCCCCAGCAGCTTCGTGAGTGGTACTCTGCGCGTCAGCGGGGTGGGGGTGCTGGTCCTTGTGCCTACGTCCTGCGTACCGGCGACCGCACTGGTGAGCCGTGCGGTGGCCCGCACACCACCCAGCGCTGCTTCGGCCGTCTGACGGACGCTTGGCGTCTCCAGTTCCCTGACGCCACTAAGATCCCCCGCTGGGGCGAGCTGCTTAGGTCGGGGGTTGCTGTCTTTGATCTCGATTATGATGCCATTCTTGCTGCCATGTATGTTGTATCTACTAGTGATGAGGGTGACTGTTACCTGTGTGTTCCGCCTGACCCGGGCATTGAGGCTGCTGCTCTAGGTGCTAGTGCGTCTGCTGCCCCAGGTACTGGTGAGTCTGCTCTCTCAGGTACCACGTCGGCTCAGGCCTTACACACCTTCACCCTTGACTCGGGTGCTTCCCGCTCCTTCTTTCAAGACCGCACCACGCTTACGCCGCTTAGTCGGCCGGTTGCGGTCTCCCTGGCGGACCCCTCTGGGGGTCCTGTCCTTGCCCACTTCTCCACTGTCTTACCGTGTCCGGCGGCCCCGTCTGGCACCCTGTCAGGTCTCTACCTCCCCTCGTTCTCTACGAACTTGGTGAGTGGTGCTGATCTACAGGATGGGGGGGTTGACCAGTTCACTCCTGCGAGTCAGCGGGTGACCCACTGTACGTGTGCTCGGACGGGCCGACACTTGGCCACGTTTACCCGTCAGCCGGGGTCGAGCCTGTACACACTGACTACTGAGTCTCCTCCGGTTGCTGAGTCTGGTCAGGTAGCTGCGTCGAGTCAGGTGTTTGCTGCAGCGTCCAGGTCTGGTCCTGAGTCTGCTCCCTCACTCCTCCGAGTTTCCTCCGACAGAGGCTCCGCTGCAGACTCTTCACATGGACGTGTGGGGCCCCGCCCGCGTCCGTGGCCAGGGTCACGAGCGTTACTTCCTGTTGGTGGTTGACGACTACTCGCGTTACACCACGGTGTTCCCCTTGCGCAGCAAGGGTGACGTCACTGAGGTGTTGATCGACTGGATCCGCACAGCTCGTCTCCAGCCCAGAGAGAGTTTTGGCTCGGACTTTCCTGTTCTGCGTCTGCACTCTGACAGAGGCGGGGAGTTTTCCTCTGCCCTTCTGGGAGCCTTCTGTCGTGCACAGGGCATCCGCCAGACCTTCACGCTTCCGGCCTCTCCACAGCAAAATGGGATTGCTGAGCGCCGCATTGGCATGGTCATGGACGTCGCACGTACGTCCATGATCCATGCGGCTGCTCCCCATTTTCTGTGGCCGTTTGCGGTTCAGTACGCAGCGCATCAGATCAACCTTCAGCCCCGGGTCTCTTTGCCAGAGACCTCCCCCACCTTGCGGTGGACGGGGAAGGTTGGCGATGCGTCTGCGTTTCGTGTCTGGGGATCTCTGGCGTTTGTCCGCGACTTGTCTGCGGAAAAGCTGTCCCCCCGTGCGGTTCCCTGCGTCTTCCTTGGCTTCCCCCCTGACGCGCCTGGTTGGCAGTTTTACCACCCCACCTCGCGCCGTGTTCTGTCCTCCCAGGACGTCACGTTTGACGAGTCGGTTCCTTACTACCGTCTCTTCCCCTACCGCACTGCGCCCCTCCCCCCGCCGCCGCTCTTCCTTGCGCCAGGTCCCCCCCCGGTAGACCCCCTCCCCCCTCAGGGTCCTGCCCCGTCAGATGTGTCCCAGGTAGACGCAGTCGAGCCTGTCGAGGTAGCTGTTGACTCTGGTACTGCTAGGGGTGCTGAGCCTGGGGGTGCTGAGTCTGGGGGTGCTGAGCCTGGGGGTGCTGAGTCTGGGGGTGCGGAGCCTGGGGGTACGGAGCCTGGGGGTGCTGAGCCTGGGGGTGCAGAGCCTGGGGGTACGGAGCCTGGGGGTGCTGAGCCTGGGGGTGCGGAGCCTGGGGGTGCTGGGTCTGCTCGTGTGGCCTCTGGCGGTGCTGGGTTTGGGGCCCCTTCGGGTGCTTCGTCGAGGCGGGAGCTACCCTCTCCACAGGAGCTGCGCGAGTGGTTTGCCCGGCGCTGAAGCCGTGCTGCTGGAGCTGGAGGTGCTGCTGTTACTGCTGACCCTGGGGTCGGCACTGGAGTTACTGGAGCCACTGGTCCTGGAGGTGCTCGTACTGGCGGTACTGGAGCTGCTGGGCCTGGGGGTACTGCTGAGACTGCTGGAGCTGACGGTCCTGCTGGAGCTGGAGCTGCTGGAGCTGGAGCTGCTGGGGGTGTTGGCGATGGAGGTGCTGCTGGCGCTGGTGCTTCTGAGGGTGCTGGAGTTGGCGCTGTTGGAGCTGGAGGTGCTGCTGGCGCTGGTGCTGCCGCTGGGGGTAGTGGTGCTGTCCCTGCTGGTTCTGGAGGCACTGCGCGGCCGCGGCCGTACTTCGTTCCGCTCCTTGAGCGGGTTCTTGGTCTCCCGCCCTCTACTGGTCCTGCTCCTCCCTTAGAGTGTCCACAGCCTGTCCAGTCGCGGTCACAGTTACAGCCCGCCTCCCCCCTACCTGCTCCTTCTCCCTACACTGGTCCTACTGGAGGTCTTGCTGAGCGTCGTGAGCCTGCGTCTCGTCCTGCGTCGCCTGTTCGTGCTGCTCGCACTAGTAGTCGTGCTCCGCGTCCGCGTCCTCCTGCGGTCCCAGGCACACACCAGATGGCACTGCGTCCTTCCACTGCTCCTCTGCATGTCCCGTTGCCGTCTCCTCCAGAGTCCTCTCTTCCTGTCCTTGCTGACCCGGAGTCTGACTCTCTTCGCGCTGCCAGTCCTACTGTCACGCGTCTCCTGGCTACTGTTGTCACTGACCCTTCCTTTGAGTCCACTGCTGCGTCTGCCGTGGTTGCTGAGCTTGTCGACTTTGCTGCTCGCTGTCGTCTAGACTACGCTGCTAGTCTTGTTGCTGAGTCTGAGTCTGTCTGTCCTCCGTCCGTCGGGGGTGAGTGTGCTCTTAGCACGGACGTCCTTGAGGACAGGCAGGAGGAGTTCCAGTGTTTTGCTGCTGCTTTGCCTCATCTCGTGTCCACGCTGATTGCCCCTGAGGGAGACCCGGATGCACCAGACATCCCGACTCCTCGATCGTACGCTGAGGCGATCGAGGGTCCCTACTCCTCACAGTGGCAGTCAGCCATGGACGCAGAGATGGCTTCCTGGAAGTCCATAGGCACCTACGTCGACGAGGTTCCCCCACCTGGGGCGAACATCGTCAGTGGCATGTGGATTTTCAGGGTGAAGCGGCCGCCGGGTTCTCCGCCTGTCTTCAAGGCACGTTACGTGGCTCGAGGCTTCAGTCAGCGGCAGGGAGTTGACTACTTTCAGACCTTCTCTCCCACCCCGAAGATGACCACTCTTCGGGTGCTGCTGCACATAGCCGCTCAGTACGACTACAAGCTTCACTCTCTTGACTTCAGCACAGCTTTCCTGCAGGGCAGCCTGCACGAGGAGATCTGGCTGCGCCGCCCACCTGGCTTCACTGGGTCGTTTCCCCCTGGTACCCAGTGGAGCCTCCGGCGGCCAGTCTACGGTCTCCGCCAGGCGCCCCGTGAGTGGCACGACACACTGAGGACTACACTTGCGGCTCTTGGGTTTGCTCCTTCTACTGCCGACCCGTCGCTGTTTCTGCGCACCGACACCTCTTTGCCGCCGTTCTACATCCTCGTGTACGTCGACGACTTGGTCTTTGCCACTGCTGACACTGCTGGACTCGCCCACGTGAAGTCCGAGCTGCAGAAGAGACACACGTGCACAGACCTGGGTGAACTGCGCAGCTACCTTGGCTTGCAGATCACCCGGGACAGAGCACAGCGCACCATTACCCTGACTCAGTCACACATGGTGCAGCAGGTCCTTCAGCGCTTCGACTTCACGTACTCCTCGCCTCAGGCCACTCCTCTGTCTACTCGCCACTCGCTCTCAGCTCTGCCTTCGGATGAGTCCGTAGAGTCGAGTGGCCCGTACCCAGAGCTTGTTGGCTGCCTCATGTACCTGATGACCTGCACACGACCTGACCTCGCATACCCTCTTAGCATTCTCGCACGCTATGTTGCTCCTGGGAGACAAAGACCGGAGCGCATGGCTGCAGCGAAGAGGGTGTTGCGTTACTTGTGCAGTACGTCGGGCATGGGGCTTGTGCTTGGAGGGCGACGTTCAGTGGTCCTCACAGGTCACGCAGACGCTTCTTGGGCTGACGACCAGGCTACGCAGCGGTCGTCACAGGGTTACACCTTCAGCCTTGGTTCCGGCTCTGTTTCGTGGCGGTCTACCCGCTCGTCTTCTATTCTCGGCTCCCGTTGTGAGGCTGAGATCTACGCGGGGGCCATGGCTGCACAGGAGCTACGCTGGCTCACCTACCTGCTGACTGACCTAGGAGAGCCGCCTTGTTCTCCTCCAGTTCTGTACGTAGACAACAAGGCCATGCTGGCCTTGTGTCGGGAGCACAGACTGGAGCACAGAACGAAGCACATTGCTCTTCGCTACTTCCTTGCTCGTGAGCTGCAGCAGCGTGGTCAGCTGCGCCTTGCTTACGTGGCCTCTGAGGCCAACACTGCTGATATCTTTACCAAGGCACTTCCGCCTTGTGATCATCAGCGCTTCTGTACGCTGCTAGGTCTTGTGCCTACTTGGCCTCACTTGCTCACTTCTTGACCTTGCTTGTACTGTGATCTTTCTATACCTGCACTTGCTTGTTTACCTTTATATATGATCTTGCATGTGAACTGGCCTTGTGGCCTTGAACTTGTGCTCGGAATGTGTGGTGACGTTGTGATCCACCCTGAGCTTGATTTGCTTTGCTTGACTGGTCTTGTGACCTCTTGTTCTCCCCCACTTTGCCTATGGGGGTGTGTCAAACTTATATGCTATAGTCTGTGTAGGCTGTAGTGGGGTAGACAATATGGGGTACAACACTTTTAGGTTTTCCTACTTGTACCCACCTGCTTGCTAGTTCATTCATTCCTCATTTCTTCACACGAAGTTGTGTAGACGAAAGGCAGGAAGATAAGACGAAGTTCAGTATATCTGGCGAACGGATTGATTCTAATGGAAATATTCATTTTTCAATCCCAAACATTGCGCCGAACAAAGAAGGGCTTGGAGGCATCATCGAAGACGGATCTCGTTTCACCATACGATTAATGGCAAACTATAATAAAATCTCTGTTCCCGGATTTCCAACAAATCGACATGCAGCCTGGGCACGACAATACTATATTTTGAAGTATCGAGGACTTAAAACAAGTCAAAAGCTTCCGTTTGATCGACGTTATCTCATTTGCAACGGAAAACTTGTGGACATACCATTTTTTGACAAAATCTACAAAATCAACAATCGTAGGAAAGAAACACAAACGACTACTCCAAAGTCATACGTTGGAGTCCATGAAGGATGCGAGAAATTTGGTTTTCGTATAATGGTGGACGGACGTAACTACATGTATGAAAAATGGGATTCTGAAGAATCGGCAGCACGTGCAAGACAACATTTTTTGCATTTAGCATTCAGCCCTAAATGCACTAAAGTATTGCCATTCAATGTCGACGAGTTCTACGAGGAAGGCAAGCTTCTTCGAGATGAGGAGTTAGATAAAAATTTTGATGACCTGGAAGTTCGATACGATGAAAAATACGAGCAAGCTAAAATTGTCGATCAAGCCGTGTCTCGATTTGAAGAAGCATCAAAAGAAGGCCCTACACATGCGGGCGAAAGTTGTGATCAGCTATTGTTCAGACGCCAATTGTCCATAGTGAAGGACGGTGCATGTATCGTTACAAAGGTGTGTCGTAGTTGCAAAATGGCAATCATGGGCAAAGAAACGCCCACAATTTCTCGAAAAAATGGAGCATTGCTACCGAACCGACCTTCACGACCTTACAGGATTGTCGGACTTGGAAGAACGTTTGGTTTCACCGCGCGTTGTATTTTCGAGCATTACACAAACGCACATTCGAAAACAGTACAAGATACGCGGCGGAGTAGTAAATGTTCTAGTCAAGGTTGTTGACATGGTAACTGCATTGCCTCGACTACCACAAGAGATTCATACTGTTCGTGTGCGTTTTAAACGCAAATTGCAGAATGGACATAATGTGTATGATGACAACGTGAGGCCCGCCAAGATATTGCGAGCCATTTCGTATCTGGAGAAGAAAGATTTGTTCCAAAAATTTGGAATCAGACTAGATAATGAAAGAATGGTTGAATTTCAACAGGAGATTGGTGATATCGACCTCCACAACCAGTTTTTGTCGCACAGCAACTGTGACCAAACGAACAATCATTCGGAGATTAACGAAGGTGCGACTGAATTGGGAGGTGAGGAAGTGGAAGTGGATATTGACGAAGCAGATTTAAACGTCGGAATTTTGGACACCATCATTTGTAATGAGCCATTGTATCAAAATTTAGAGCAATTCGTGGTGGAAATGGCGCCCGGCGAAAGGTCGCGACCGTTGCCTATTCTAATGGATAAACACGTTGAGGAGTTAGCATTTCCTACACTATTTTGCGGAGAAGTTTTATTGTCAGATATTGATGTATCTGCATTAAATTATCGCGATATTTCAAAATGGGAACTCCTTCATAAAGATGTGTCAGACTTATATGACATAGCTACTGTAGGCTATAGTGGGGTAGCACATATGGGGTACAGTTTTCTAGGGTTTACATTTGTACCCAACTTTCCCTTAGTCATTCATTCCTCGTTTCTTCTCATGGTATCGAGCAGGTTCCTTAGTGGGAACGATTCCTAGGGCCCACCACCACGAATTTTTTTTTTTCCTGCCCGGAGCGCGCTTCGCTCCGGCCCGAGTCGCGCCCTGTGTGCTCTCCCTACCGTCGCGCCCTCGCTAGGCCCCTCACGGCCCCGTCGCGTCGCCCTTAGCGGCCCTCTCACGGCTCCCTAGCGTCGCCCTTACGGCTCGTCGCGCCGCCCTTACGGCCCGTCGCGCCGCCCTTACGGCCCGTCGCGCCCGTCGCGCCGCCCTCACGGCCCCTCGTGCCGCCTTTACGGCCCGTCGCGCCGCCCTTACGGCCCGTCGCGCCCGTCGCGCCGCCCTCACGGCCCCTCGTGCCGCCCTTATGGCCCCTCGCGCTACCCTTACGGGCCCTCTCGCGGCCCCTTCGGCCCCTCCCGTCGCCAGTCGGCCCCTTACGGCCCCCTCGCGGCCCCTCGAGCCGCCTTCCGCGGCCTCCTCACGGCCTGTCGCCGCCCTCGACGGCCCCTCGTGGCGCCCTTCACGGCCTCTCCGCCGCTCTTCGCGGCCCCTAGCGGCCGGCAGCCGCCGTCCCTGAGGCAGCAGCCGCAGCCGTCTCTGCAGCAGCAGTCGCCACAGCTTCTGCGACTGCTGCCGCGGTCGTCACCAACCACACCAGCCGCCGAGCCGCCCAGCAGCCGAGCACCCGAGCCGCCGAGCTGTCCTGCAGCCGAGCAGCCGAGCCGCCGAGCCGCCGAGCCGCCCAGCAGCCGACCGCCGAACCGCCCGGGCCGCCGAGTTGCCGAGCCGCCCGAGCCGCCCGAGCCGCCGAGCCGCCCGAGCCGCCGTGTCGCCGACCCGCCGTCCTGCCGAGCCGCCTGAGCCGCCCTGTCCGGTAAGAGCAGCGCCTCTATCACTGCACGGCCCTTACCCTACTGTTCGCACTGCTAGTCTACTGCTGTCATGGCTACCCCTAGTGTCCTCGCCTTTGACGCTGAGGGTCGGGCCATTGACTTTGACGTCTGGGTAGATGACCTGCAGCTTTTCTTACAGTGCGATAGGGCAGACGGTCTCTCCCTCTTTGATCTCACCTCTGGTGCCTCTCCTGCCCCTGCTGCTGATGCCGACGCCACTGTTCGCTCACAGTGGGCCACACGCGATGCTGCTGCACGTCTAGCTGTGCGTCGTCACCTGCCTACCTCTGAGCGTGCGCACTTTAGCCAGTACAAGAGTGCTCACACCTTGTACGACGCTGTAGTTGCGCGCTACTCCTCCCCTGCCACTGCTGCACTGAGCCGCCTCATGCTACCGTACCTCTTCCCTGACCTTGCTGCCTTTCCCACAGTCGCTGACCTCATTACGCACCTCCGCACTAGTGACACTCGCTACCGCGCTGCGCTTCCTGCTGAGTTCTGCGCCAAGAACCCCCCCCCCATGTACATCACCCTCTACTACATAGTCACCCGGCTCCCTGACTCCCTTCGCGTAGTCAGGGACCACTTCCTCTCAGTTTGCCCCACCACTCTCACCGTTGACCTCCTCGAGAAGGCCCTCCTAGCAGCAGAGAAGAGCATAGTCGCTGTAGGAGCCTCTCGTGGTGACCCTCGCACCCCCGTCTTTGAGGGGTGTTCCCCCTCCCCCCTTTTGCCCTCTGTTGCCTCTGCTGCTGCGGCCGACCTCGTTGGTCTCGAGTCGGTCGGCGCTGCGTCTGCCCCGAGCGGGAGACGCCGCACCGGCAAGGGCAAGGGGGGCAAGGGTGCTGGAGGGGCTGGCGGGGGTGGCGGAGGTGGCGGTGGCGGCAGTGGAGGGGGTTGGGGTGGTGGTGGGAGTGGTGGCGGGGGTGGAGGTGTCGGTGGCGGCAGTGGAGGCGGAGGCGGCGGTGGCGGTGGGAGCGGAGGTGGCGGAGGTGGCGGCGGTGGCGGAGGCGGCGGCGGAGGAGGTGGAGCTGGTCGGGGTGGCGCTGGGCAGAGGGTCGGCTCCGGTGGTGGTCAGCGCCAGCAGCAGCAGCAGCAGCGGCAGCTGCGCACTCGTGACATCCCCCCCCCTCAGCAGCTCCGTGAGTGGTACGCTGCACGCCAGCGGGGTGGGGGTACTGGTCCGTGCACCTACGTCCTACGCACCGGCGACCGCGCGGGTGAGCAGTGCGGGGGTGCGCACTCCACCCAGCGCTGCTTTGGCCGCCTGACGGACGCTTGGTGTCACCAGTTCCCAGAGGCCACTGAGATCCCCCGCTGGGGCGAGCTGTCTAGGGCGGGTGTAGCTGTCTTTGACCTTGACTTTGATGCTATTCTTGCTGCCATGTATGCTGTGACTATTAGTGATGAGGGTGACTGTTACCGGTGTTTTCCGCCCGACCCGGGCTTGAGACTGCTGCTCTAGGTACTGGTGAGGCTGCTGCTCTAGGTGCTAGCGAGGCTGCTGCTCTAGGTGCTCGTGCGTCTGCTCACTCAGGTGCTGGTGAGTCTGCTCTCTCAGGTACTGCGTCGGCTTCGGCCTCCCACACCTTCACCCTTGACTCGGGGGCTTCTCGCTCCTTCTTTCGAGACCGCACCACACTCACGCCGCTTGGCCGGCCAGTTGCAGTCTCTCTGGCAGACCCCTCTGGGGGTCCTGTCCTTGCTCACTTCTCCGCTGTCCTCCCGTGTCCGGCGGCCCCCTCTGGCACCCTGTC